TTTTTATTGTTATCTTAAAGTCAATTAATTAATGTCTAAATTTGTATTTGAATCTTTACTTTAAATGATCAATACTAATCGTTACTACAAATAGAAATTTATAAAAAAGCGATATTGGATAAATAGGGGGTCCATGGTTAAGCCTAAGGGGTCCACGATACAAACAAGTTTGGAAACCTCTGGTCTAGATTATTATTATTACATTCAAACAGTGGACCTTAGAAATTGTTTACTTTCGCGTAAAAATACACTTGGAGGAAAATTCACACTTAAGGCATTTTTGTTATAGGATCATAAAAAACCAAAAAAGAAAAACCTGTAAGTCCAATTCTAGTGTCGCCATAAAAAACTTTTTGGTAAAATGAACGGAGGTACAAAACATCACAAATGTTTATTTGCTAAACATGGCAGAGGCATAGAAAATAAACGATTTGCCTATCATTTTCTATATGTCTTCAAACAAATGGACAGTTTCCTTAAGGGGGTATTCTAGTGCAAAGCGAAGAATTTTAGGTCATTTTTAAAGTGTCGTAAAAGAAAGCAATGAATGTTTTTGCTATCCATTTTCACCACTTGTTTATTAATATTATTAAAATACAAAACAAAAATAAAAAAATAAAAAAGTTGAAAATTGTAAAAACTGGCAGCTGATGAAATGGGTGGTCTCAAAAAATTGGCACCTCAGCCTTGACATGATTTCAACCCTCCTAGCCATCGGAAATGCAAAAAATAAAAAGATCATTAATCTACAATGATGTCGCAATCGCCCGAACTAGCGATGAGTAACAAAAAGTTTTTTTTATAAATTGGCGACTGTTTGAAAGAAAAGTGTTTTTTTTACTGTTTTTTGAGTTTCTCGAATTTTTTAAAAATAGTAAAAATTGGAATTTGGGGATAATCCTAGTTCGGGCTATAGATAGGTCTATAAGCAAAACTCTCTGAACATTTCAAGTGAATCGGTCGATTAAAACTCGAGAAATCGTATCAACAGTACTGAAAAAGTATGTTATGAGAAAAACTCAATTAAAGTTTTGCGTGAAGCCAAACCAGTATGGGGACCGAGTAGGTAAAATGCCTATATCTCCGAAAATAATTCAAATTTTCAAAAACCTTCTTGCACCCATATTTTTAGATAGTTAAACTTCTAAAGTATAAAATAAAAAAAATCGATTTTTTTGAATTTCTACACTAGAATACCCCCTTAATGTGATAAAAAAGCAAAGAATAGTGCACGACCACTCTTTTGAACTGATTTTTATTTTTACTATCTCAATTACATGTATTATATACTTTATTTTCAAATAATCATATTTTGTTTTAAAGAACGAATTAATTTTATTAACATGTAAAGAAAATGCTTAATGACGAAACTTTTGCATAAGGGTTTCTTATGCAAACTTCCTGAAAGAGCTAACTTTATGCAAGGCATTAAAATAAATTTCCAAATGAATGTATTTTAGTATCTCTCTGTCACTTATTAATTTAAAACAATTATTATTGGAACTTAATCAAAATTATTACATCATTCCTATAATTCCTTTATAAATACAATGAGCGGCCCAAACTAAGTTTTGTAAATATATAATTAATATTATTTTATGAAAGTTTTAAATCCATTTCCAGTTGTGCTGTTGTCAGTTGCAAGTTTGGCATCAGCAGAGGATAAATGGGTTTGGTCAGACAAATTACAAGATCGTTCTGATGATGCACCCAGAAAACACAATTCCCCAACCAGTGGAACCAAAACAGATAAAAGGAAACCATTGCAAGACGAATTGGATGATTTGGAAAATGATCGACAAGGCCCTAATATGTGAGAGATTTTATCATATTTGCTCATATAAGATGGAATGTATTACTTTTAGTAGTATAGCACTTAGTTTTATTCTTTATTTATCCTAGCAACCTTAGAAAGATACTATAAACCAGTTATTTTAAACTATAATAAAGGCATAAAAATGATCATTTTATAGTAGTTTAACATAATTTTTTTGTTCTATTATTTTTATTTACTTTTATAATTTTATTTTGCTATTCTGGAAATAGTTTTGCAGAAGATCATTATTTGAATGGTTTTGTATCTTAATATTATACGTTTTTATCCTGGCAAATTTTTTCTTGATATGCTTGTTTAATATGAATCATTTTAGTTCTTATTTCACAAAATATCACAATAGACTATCATTTTTGGAAAATTAATTTTGGAAATTTGTTTAAATTTCCTTAGTTACGATCCACGTTACCAAGTATCAGAAGGAGGGCCAAATAGGTTTCCTTTGCCGCAAGGCGGTAATCGATATCCTGTAGGAGGAATAAGGGGCCCCATCAGACCTGTTTTGGTAGGACCTTCAGTTGGAAGCGGTTCATACCCCCAGCAACAATATCCTGGTGGTTTTGGAGGAATTCCGCAAAGACCCTTAGGCCCTAATAGATTACCACCTGGTTTTGGTAAGAAATAATTGAAAGATAAAATTTAAAAGAGAAATTAGGTTATATTTGCTAATGCAAACGCAATTCTAAGTTCACAGTAATATATTTTTGTCAAATAATACATTTTGAATAGACTTTGGTTCGAGAGCTATTGATTAATTTGCAATCTAAAAATCATTTGTAGAATATCCAGGAAACGGCTATGCCGGGATTGGCAACGGGGCTGGTTATGGTGCCGGTTACGGAGGAGCTGGTTATGGAGGCGCTGGTTACGGAGGAGCTGGTTACGGAGGCGCTAGTTATGGCGGCGCTGGTTATGGAGGTGTAGGTTATGGCAATGGAATTGGACGCCCCAGTTATGGAGGAGGAATTTATGGCGGGGGAAACTATGGAGGAGGAAACTATGGAGGTGGAAACTATGGCAGTGGATATGGTAACAGATTTGGTGGTGCCCCGCAAGGAAATCCTGCTAACGGTGTCTTAGTAGGTCCAGGCGGCCCAACCGGAATTATTGGCCGCCCACCATACCGACGTCTAGGCGTGAACGGTTTAGTTTCTAGACCAGGAGGTAAAATTTAACTAAAAAATTTTAATTAAAACACCATTTATATTACTTTATTTGTTTCAGGTGCATATCCGAATAGAGGTGTCTTAGTAGGTCCAGGTGGCCCATTCGATAATATATCATCGCTTAATAGAGGTAATAACTAATACACATTAATATGATATAAAAATCTTGAATATTCTAACTTTAAAATAAATTTAGCAGGTTCGCATAAAAGCGTGCTTGTGGGTCCTGCTGGTCCATATGACAATGTTAGAAATTTTAATAGAGGTAATTTCAAATCTAACAATAAGACTAACAATTTGATTAAATTTAACCTGGATAAAACGAACAAAAATATTTATTAAAGATATATTTTTATTTTGCAAGTTATATAAGACGTGTTAAATTTTTTATTCTAGTTCCAAACGTGAACAGAGGCGTTTTAGTAGGCCCTGATGGACCCTACGATAATGTTTTGCCAGTTGGTAGAAAACCACCTACTTATCTACTTGGATTTTATCCCCATCACGACGAGGATGAGCCGCAAAAATCAGCTTAATTAATTTATTTATTTATATTTATTGTTTCAATATTTATTCTCATATAATTTAAGATAACATTAAATGCTGTATTATTTTTTACGACTTATTGTAAGATATATTGAGTTTTCCTTCATATTTATTTTTAAGCTATAGGTTTGATAAGTAAGTACATTTAATTAGTTTAAGTTTTAGTTTTAAGTCAGTGAGCGCGAGTGTGCAATTTGCAATTCTAATAGTTGTTTTTATTATTTGTTAGTAGTTATATAAATTCAACCAAAGCGCATTTTATTTTATAAAAAAAATTATATTTAAATTATGTAAATTAATTGATATTATTGAAACAAAAAATTCTACACATAATATTTTAATTTCATTCATCTATTAAATAATAATAATAAGTCAAAAAATATATTCCTTTGTAATTCATCAATAATTTATAAATAACTTTTGCAGCTTATTTTTAAATTTTTTTTGCTATAACATTAAAGTAGAACGTTGTTTTTCCATCTTTACAAAAATTATAAATTTATAATATTTTAATTGAAAGATCTTTAAAACTGTTTATATAATTTTAAACAAATGTAATTATATTAATACAATAATAAAATTTAAAACACACTGTACCCAATAAACACCGTGCGATTTGAGCGGCGGTAGCAATCTTAAATCCACAAGAGTGCCATCAGCGCTGTGACACCCATGTGGAATCTATGTGGATTTCAGATAGCTACCTCCACTCGATGTTTACTGGGTGATAAAATAAAAGAACGCATATTTTGAATAATATAAAAAAACTTTGAGATCATTTTAAGTGCCCATATAAAGTCATCATTTTTTAAATAATCTGATGCAAAATATTTGATAACATTTTTTTGATATAAACCGTTATATAGCACCACAAAGCATTTTCAATTTGTAGTTGTTTTTGAAGTATTATGGCACTAATATTAATAATGATTTATAATGAGAAGAGATGACTTAATTACATATTTATCATAAAAATGCATTTAATTTACACACTTTTTTATAGTTTTTTTTACAGATTGCTGGTTACATATTGCAGGTAGGTACTTTCATGTTAGCAATGTACCCTCAATACACCTTCCGAAAAATTTAGTACAGTTCAAATATTCATTTTTTTTGGATAAAATTGAGATTATTACGACATTCTGTACACAACCTTTTATGAAAATTACATTCGTGCTATAATGATCGAAGATTTTAAAAATATAAAAGATATGGTGCTAATTAATTCATTCACATATTTATTTAAAATATGTGAATGAGCTTTTTTATAAACTTTAAAGACTTACCAATAGTAGTAATAACAATTATGGAATAGAACAAAGCACCAGCAAACGTCCATTGTATAGCATTTTCATCCTCATTACCATCCCAGCCATCTTGTTTCATGGCTGTTAAAATTTCCGTTTCAAAAACCTAATAGCAAAAATACTTCTGATCTTTTTATAATTTTTCCTCAAAGCAGAATATGGTGGTTAACTTACCCTTAACCTAGATACTACTACTTCAGTCCAATTCTCTTGAACAAGTACCGGGGTATCCCGAACTAATTGCCACAAAACTTCCGTCATGTTGCTTCTTATATAAACTATGCCACGTTTCACCTGAAAAGAAAAAAATTGAATAAAAATTATAAAATTCTTAAAATCATGAAAAATACAGTTGGCCAAAGTGGCAAAAATGAAGTTTTGCATAACAAATCAATGTTGTGGCAAATTTTAATAAAAATAATCATTTTTATTATTAATATTATTACTATTATTAATATTATTTTTCAGCAACTAGAATATAACGAGTCTTATTAGTCCAGTCATTATAGCTCGGATTACGATTACGATTAAGTTCACCTCGGATTTCAAGATACCCAGCTGTAAGTTTGTATATATACACGTACTTGTATATTGACACCCTAAAGTTGTCTCAAAACCTACATATGGTATTGACACCCTGCCATATGTAGGTTTTGAGACAACTTTAGGGTGTCAACATTCAAGTATTTACAGACTTACAGCTGGGTATCTCGAATTCCGAGATTCTTACCTAATTTAAGCTTAAATGACAGGACTAATGAGCTGTCGTGCTAATTACTGAATACTACTACTTTCTATCAGGCTTTCTATCAGTAAGCGGATATCGAACCTGAAACTTCTGATTGAAAGCCCATAGCTTTCACCACTAATCCCTAATAAATAAATAATTTTTAATATTACCTTCATAAACGAAGTGGCTTTTTTATAGACGACAACTCTTAGATTTGTCCCATTTTTATGTAAAACATTTTATAATTACAATTACTTTAATACTAATAAAAAAATTATGCAACCGGGATATTTCGATCGTGTATTATAATCTATATTTCCAAGTAAACAACGATGTCATTATTGCTTGATATCAAGTTGTACGAAGCTGGTATCGAACATGGAACTTCGGATTGCAATCCCATAGCCCTAACCACTAATCTTAAATAAATATTAAGTGTTAAAATAATAAATCTGCTGTTAAAATTCATAATAAAAAAAAACTATGTACATTAGCATATACCTACTATTCTAAGGATGATGTAATGTAATCAACAAGTTCAAAAAGTATTAATAAAAATAGTATAATAATAATAATAATGGTTGGTATTGCCCTAGAGCAGGTCCGTGAGCTAAGTTAAACTCAAACTCGATTTAGGGAAGAATAGTGCGCGAGATTTTCCATTGCCATTACACACAGCAGTGCCCAAAATGGGATTATTTTCAATTGGAAATATATTACTGATCTATATTTTCAAGTAAAAATAGACATCGCTACTGCCCGATGTCAGGTTTGCAAGGGCGGGGACATGAACACGCAACCCCGTGTACACGAATGCGCTCTTATGCCATTGCGCACCCTTAAGACTAGTATATTTAGAAGTATCATTAAAAATTGTCAAATAGAACAGTAATAAAATAAAATAATTAACAAATAATTAAACTTTAAAAATATTAACAATAAAAGAATATAAAAACAATAGTTATAAAAGTAATGTGCCGAAAATCGAAAATTAAATTTTTTGCATATGTTCACGTTTCAGACGTTTCTGAACATTTTGGCATATCTCAGTGTGTGTATGTGTGGAGACAATTTTTCATCGACGATTTTGGGCGTATGGATGAACCGATTTGAAAAATTCAAAAAGCAATCCATTTCTATTGGTAAAGAGATGTGCTGATTAGTTTTTGGCAAAGGCAGGTCCAGCCGTTACTGAGATACGGAGCAAAGAGTGCAGAAAATAGTAACCGAGTTTTTGAGAGGTCAGAGTATCATATTTGAATGATCCTAAAACATTCTGCTTATATTGGCAAAACAATTGTTTTTGGAAAAAAAATGTTTTAAAATTTTAATTTTGTAATTCAGATTATATAATTCTTATAAATATTAGAAAATGTTACAGTATTTATAATAACCTATTTGAAAACATTTAATATTTTTCAATCATTTTGTTACGGTACGGAAGGTTACAAAAATTTGTCTTAAGGCACGATGCCACACACCACTAGTTTACAATTAGACTACAAATTAGAAAATTCCTTTAAAAAATCTGCATCTCGCATGAATTACAGGATAATAATAATAATAATAAATAAATATATTTCAGTAAATATAAATGTGTACATAATATTTACCTTTCGCTCGTTCTCTGCCTCGAGGTGTTCAAACGTGAATGCCCCAAGTATGCAGTAGGCGACGACCAGCGTGACCAGGAATGCATGGGAGAAGACACAAGTAATGATCTTCCAGATACAGTGGAGCACCTTGGCGCATTTTGACGGCGGCGGAGGAGGGTCGAAGTCATAAGTGGGCAACGCGCGACGGGACATACCTCAGCCGGTTGCCATAAGGATGACTCCAACTTTATGGCAGATTGTCATCTATCCACCTGAAAAATTAAGGTAATATGATGATACAGACTAGGCTATACATTTATTCAGCAGATACGAATGAATTGAATTGTAGAATAATAATACAATAAGGCATATTGAAAAATATTGAACATCAATTTTTGGCCCTCCGATAATTTCGTCTTTGCTCATCGGGCTTTTTAAAAAATGAATTTGAAATTTATAGCCCGATATTTGATAGAGTGATATTTTTTTTTGATTGTGTGTAAAACCTTTCTAATAGACATTAGGCAAATTTTATGAGTAAAATTACAAAAAAGTAGCTGCCTGCAAATGAATTGTTTAATGCTCAGAAAAGTGTAGAGTTGAATCTTCCCTAAATTTAAAAAATAATGGATATAAATTGACTTGACTTAGAATAACTTTATAAATTGATAGTTTATTATAAGTCGATAGTTGTTATTTTCTTCCTAATAGCCAATAAAGACTCTTGAATTTTTCTTCCAATTGTTCTCATTTCTTCTGAAGGTGTGTTTTCGAATTAAGTTTCCAAGATCGCGTGATAATACAGCTAAGATTTTAATTGTTTGTTCAAAGATAATATAAATACGTTATTGTGTTTACTAATTTAGGCAGCAAGTTAATTTTTAATACTAAACTTTTTGAAATACTATAATTAAGTATTCTGATGGTATGCATTTCACCAAATTATTTCGGCAGATCAGTTCAAACATATATGTACAGTGGCGTCGGAACCGTGTGGGCTGTGTGGGCTTGAGCCCACCCATGAATTTTGATGGGGGGGCTCAGCCCACCCATCAATTTCAAAAAATTATATGGGCTAATATCTCTAAAAAAAAATGAGACCACTGGCTGCCTATCTAAAAAAAAAAAAAAAAACGAGCCCACCCATCAAAAATTTGGTTCCGACGCCACTGTATGTGTACTATAAATATAAAATGGATTTTTATGTGGTAATTCGTCAACTCAATGTTGAGATGATGATTTATCTCAAATCATTTACATTATATAAATATTTTTTTATTTTTTTGTGTTTTTTTTTATTCACATATTTTAACAGCAATCAGAACCTTACATTGTTGAACTAAAACTTCTCCTGACTTCGTATTTTTAGATGGTTACCCAATTGTCAATCCATTCATATTTGAGATTTTATTATTAGAATTTATCTAATAGGGCTGAAATTTTATTGGTGCAGAAATGTCGGTTGGGGGCTATTATCATTGGGAAACATTTTGTTAACTATATTTTCAAGTGAAAATCGCTGCCTGACAACAGGCTGCTCAAAGTGGGTTTCGAACCAGGGACCTCTGAATCAAGTCTCGTCGCTCTTAACCGCTTACCTACGAGCGAGCCATATAAATCATATCATCATATAAATTAAATATAATATTATATTTACGTTACTATTTTATTATATTGTATCACAATACCACTCTTCCACACTTATTGTATCGTATCATAACACCACAAATTACAATGCCAATTTTCAATTAAATGTAAATATATTTTAATTTGTACATAACAATAGCAAAGCATCGCAATTTTCTTTTTTGGTCCATTAATTTAAATACGAATTTTAGTAAAAAAAAAAGATTAAAAATTGTTCAGCAAATATTGATTAGTCTTAATACTAAATTATGTTTTATTCTACTAAGTACTATGTAATTTATATTTTAGATCATGAGTTAGTCATTTCAAAAATTGGTATTTAGAAAATTAATTATCTAATTAGATATTTTGAAAAAAATAAAAGATAAATATCCAACAACATTAAAATGGTTTGGCCGATTTATTCACCGAATCTTCGCACTATTTTCAATTAAAATCTTTTTCATACACTTTTGAAATCAGACAAGAATTATATGAAAAAAAACTATATGTTATATTTTGAACTGTTTATTACGAAACAACAGTGCTTTCCACAGAAGTGTCCCTGCTGTACGAAAACAGAGCCGCTCAGTTGCACTACTGAACGAACAGGCACAACGATATGGTTTACCATATTTGTATGATTATCAATTAAAAAATTGTAGGGGACTAGAATTCTCAGTAGTTTAAATCAAAGCGATAAATCTTGAAGCGAAATCAAGCATATCGTCCGTACACACGTGTGGATGGGTTGTCTATGGACGACATTCGTAGCGAAAAGATTAAATAAGATCAGTAAAGGAACGATATTTAAACATCAGTACACACCAATACAAAAAATATAATAAAGCATAAATTAGCTTACACTCAAATATATGTATTGTAATAGAATTTTAATGAAAACAAAAATATTTAAATCAAGTGTGTTTATTGAAACATCTAAGTATTTCGAGTTGGTATAGAATCAGCAAATTTCTGGTTGAAAGAACAAGGTTTTAACCACTGGGTCATGAGGATGCTCTGTGGAATGATATTGCCATTAAAAAAAATTTCTTCATGTTGCGGCAGTGCTATAATAACCAAGAGTCAAATACAAAAGAAGTAATTTAAAAACACATATTTGGAATTTTTAAATTCCTTCGTAAAAATAAATAATTTATACTTTATTTATATCGTTTTTTCAAATTAATCTGCCAGTTTATACTCAACCACAAAGATTAGAATATTTATTAAGATATGGTATAACATTATTGTATTATTTACATTACATGTAAAATAATTTTGGCATATGACTGATATCATGACCGTACAATAAGCCAATGTAGTTTATTTTAGAAAATGATTAATCAATGGCAAGTACTATCGCAAACAAGTTATTATATAAATATAAAAATGATATACCAATCAGGTTATTTTTTTCACTAACTCGCTTTCGAGACAATTAAGCAAATACTAAAATGTAATATTAAAATTTATTTATTTTTTAAAATTTTTTTTCATATCTTAACAGCAATCAGAACTTTACGTCTTGTGACCTGTTGGGCAGAAACTTTTCCTTATTTTGTATTTTTAGAAGGTACCCCAATGGTTGATTCACCCTTATTTGATGATTTATTATTATAATTAATCTAATAGGGCTGGCCCTTTACTGGTGCAGCAAAACCGTTGTCACAACAGGCTGCTCGAAGAAGGTCTCGAACCCGGGACCTCTAAATCAAGTCCGGTCGCTCTTAAACACTCACTTACGGGCGAGCCAGTATTAAAATTGAAGTAATATTGGTATAATTAGTTTATACTATATTCAGACAATTTTTTGAAGTAGAACTTCTTTAGGCGCGACTAGGGTGTAAATTCGTACAAATGCAACAGAAGTGCGTTACGGCCGAACTGTATGTCATTCGCTCTCGATGAAATCATTTCAATACGGGTCGATTGTGATTAGTCGTCGTGTATGTGAATAGGGATCTGTCGTTGTATGCGTACCGGCATCAACGTTGTATGCGTACAGATATCAACAAGGAAATCGGCATAGATAAATACACATTTTAAAGTTACATCGTAGAATCAGAAGAATATTTTACCCTGTTCCTTGAAAATAATAAAACAAATTAAACATTCGGGCCGTACAATAAACGTAAGTTTATTGATTAGAAATTAGTTCTATATTATTCGTAATTTCTGTAAATCTTTGAAGTTATTAAAATGGAAAATATTTTGACAGATATTACAGCTGTTTAAAGAATGACATTATATCGCCAGCAACAAAGTAAAAAAAAATACAAGTAGAACTCTTTTTTCCTTAAATTTATTGTAATTCTTAAATTTATTGTAATATTTATATATTAAAAAAAAATTTAAACTTTAGGCATAAGCATCTGTAGCAATATCAATACTATGTAATAATTTTAAATAAATAAATAAATGAATAAAAGCATTATTGGGTCATCAATTCACCTGTCGCAAAAAGTATAGATGATTCCTACGCGTACAAAAATTGTTAAAAGAAAATATTTGTATTATTTTTATAGCTCACACAACCAATGATCCCATAAAATAAATCATTCAATTATGCTACACATTTATACCACTAACATTTCATAATGGTTGATTTTATAGCCAGTATAAAAATAAAACAAGGCTGGCATTATTCTGCTTTAAAAAAGATGCTTCACTTTTGGTTGATGTAAATTATAACAACTTATCAAGCAAACAATATAACTATACAATATATTTATGAATTCGATCTACATTTCATTCATTTTTTGTTGCATGGATGCAAAAAATAAACATCTCACGCATCCAGGTAAGTCACCCAATAATAAGAAACATATGAATTCTTGTACCTTTTTTATAATTTTTGGATCTTTTCCAAGGAAGAGTGTCTGACCACACACCCACAAATTTACACTAACATTTTCAAATATCTAATTTGACAGGTTGCACTATGAAATAAACTATCATTCATGGAGTTTCACACATTCTTAATCACATCACGACTGATGGTTATGATAAATGGTAGGAATTAACAAGATGTTTATTTTAATGAATTATGATGGAATATTATTTATCGGCTGTATCGTTGGATGTGAATCTTAGGATCGTAGGAAATAACTGGCATGCTCTAAGGCACATATGTTTGAACGCACGAGGAATTATTAGGACACGGAGGTGAACACGCATCTCGTGCGGGCTGACGACTACGACTACGACTACTGATCTACCAAAATAACTCGGCGGCGATCACTACGATTGTTCAACGTTCATGCGAACATATACAACAGATGATGTAGGAAGTAGGTATACAACTAACTGTGTCTTTTGTTTCGAACACTTTGAATTTTTGATAAATCGATTAACAAATCTCATTCTTGTTTTCACAAATATGATCGATTGTCTTCAAATGTTATCGATCATATCAGAATTATGTAAATCTTTTTCTGTGTCTGGTAGTTGTCACACTTTGTCCAATAAAACTATTTGAAAATAAGGTGGACTAGGTTTGCATGGCGTCGTAGCTTAAGGCAAATTTCGGAAACTTTCCTTACCAAAAGGAGGGGGGGGGGCAATATTCACATAATATTTTTTCC